CTTTCTGCCTGCTTTTTCTTTCTTTTCTCCTCCACATTCCGTCTCCCCCTCCCTCCCCTGCATCTCCCACTCACCCCATCCCCCCCACATCTCTCACCCACTCCTTCCCACCCCCCACACCTCCCTCCTGCCCCGCCCCGCCCTCCCCAGTCCGCCGCGTGGCTCCACGATTCTCCATCCTGCCCATGAGCCACGAGATCATGCCAGGTGGCAACGTGAACATCACCTGCGTGGCCGTGGGCTCGCCCATGCCATACGTCAAGTGGATGCAGGGGGCGGAGGACCTGACGCCCGAGGATGACATGCCTGTGGGCCGGAATGTGCTGGAACTCACTGATGTCAAGGACTCTGCCAACTACACGTGTGTGGCCATGTCCAGCCTGGGTGTCATCGAGGCCGTGGCTCAGATCACAGTGAAATGTAAGCATGGCCTGTGGGGCATGGGGGAGGCAGGTCAGCCCCGACCTCAGGAGTGTGTGCTGAGGGGAGCAGGTACAGGTGGAAAAACCTCTGAGTTACTATTTCGGATTAATCATTCCTTCCCGGCTGTGAAGAGGACTGTTGTTTTGTCAACAAACATTTATTGGTGTTAAATTATTCTGGGCCCAGCACGTGGAATGAGACCCAGTCTGGCTCTGTTGAGCTCACATCCAAAGAGGTAGATGCCGTGTAGCTGGGCGGCTAGGATGCAGGCTGGTTAGAGCAGTGATGGGGGCCATGCAGTGCTGCTCAGACCCCCAGGAAAAAGGTTCCAGCTCCCAGGAAAGCTGGGTTCAGGGAAAGGCTAACAGTGGAACAGGAATGAGCCAGAAAAGATCAGAAACATGTCTAAGAAAAGGACATAGCTTATGCAAAGACTCAGAGAGAGAGAAAACATGAGGAGGGGGCGGATTACAGATTTTCCTGATGTCTCAAGTTAGTGGTGAGATTCAGAGGAGGGTGCCCCCAAATATTTTTCTAGCTTTAGAACAGGGGCCAGCAGACGACGGGCCATGGCTAAATCTGGCCCTCCACTTGTTTTGATAAATAAAGTTTTACTTAGACATGGGCATTTTTTTTCATGCCTTGCCTGTAGCAGCTTTCCAGCTACCGTGGCAGAGCTGAGTAATTCTGGGCAACAGCCACCCGGCCTGCAAAGCCGAGGATATTTACTCCGTGGCCCTTTGCAGGAAGAATTTGCCAAGCCCCACCCTGGGGCCATAGACGGTGTCAGTATCAGCTGATGTGCTGGTCATTTTGCTGAGGGATTGCACTTCTGGTAAATGCTTCCTGGGGGCCCGGGTGGTGTGAGATCTTGGGACAAGAGGGAAAGTCACAGTTATCCAGGTGCTGGGGACATGCTGTAAACAAAGCTCAGTCCAGACTGGTAGGGAAAACTAACATGAAAACAGAAAACATCAGGTGGCAAAACGAACTGGACAGGGGCACCTCTAGCTGGGGTGGTGAGGGAGGCCTTAAGGAGTAGGTTTAGGAGGAGCCATCCATCTGGTCATCTGAGCTGTCCAGGCACAGGGAACAGCATGTGTGAAGTGGGAACAGACGGAAGAGCCCTGTGGCTGAGCAGAGTGAACCACAGAGAGGGCTGCAGACCAGGGGCTGCCAGTGTTTCCCTCAAAAGCAAAAACTTCCTTAAACAGCAATTTTTTTTTTAAGTAAATAGTTTTGGCTTTACGGGCCCCCTAGTCTCAGCTTGGCCATCATAGTGCAGAAGCAGCGTTAGCAACATGTAAGTGTGGCCGTGTGCTGATAAAACTTGGTTTATAAAACCAGGTCCCCAGCCCTCGGGCTGTAGTTTGCCATCACCTGCTCTAGGTGATGGGATAGAGGTCATTAGGCTTGTGGTCACCACTGAGGAAATGACAGCTCAGAGAGGGCAGTGGTGTGACTCAAAGTCACGCAGCCTTCAGGATCTGCAGCCAGCATGCCCGACGTGTGACCTTGCCTTCTGCCCACAGCTCTCCCCAAAGCCCCCGGGACCCCCGTGGTGACAGAGAACACAGCCACCAGCATCACCATCACATGGGACTCAGGCAACCCAGACCCAGTGTCCTACTACGTCATCGAATATAAATCCAAGAGCCAGGACGGGCCGTACCAGATCAAAGAGGACATCACCACGACGCGTTACAGCATCGGCGGCCTGAGCCCCAACTCGGAGTATGAGATCTGGGTGTCAGCCGTCAACTCCATCGGCCAGGGCCCGCCCAGCGAGTCAGTGGTCACCCGCACAGGCGAGCAGGCCCCGGCCAGCGCGCCGCGTAACGTGCAGGCCCGCATGCTGAGCGCCACCACCATGATCATCCAGTGGGAGGAGCCTGTGGAACCCAATGGCCTGATTCGGGGCTACCGGATCTACTACACCACGGAGCCGGAGCACCCCGTGGGCAACTGGCAGAAGCACAACGTGGACGACAGCCTGCTGACCACCGTGGGCAGCCTCCTGCAGGATGAGACCTACACCGTGCGCGTGCTGGCCTTCACCTCCGTGGGCGACGGGCCCCTCTCGGACCCCATCCAGGTCAAGACGCAGCAGGGAGGTGAGATGCCTGAGGGAGGCCTGGCTTCTGCAGGGACAGCAGGATTCCAGGCCGGCTCATCAGGGGGAAGGAGGTGGCAGTGGTGCAGTGACGTGTCTCCAACCATGCAGCGGCTGGTCTTCCCTGGAAGCCACGCGTGGTTTATTTGTCCTGCATGGTGTTTTAAAATATTTTCAGACCAGCACTGAAAGCAGGAAGTTGTGGAAAACCCAGATTTCTGGCTACCCTTGGAGAATCTGATTTGGCAAGCCCACAGGGCGACAGTCAGTCACTAGAGTGCATCCAGATAGATGCTGGCGGCCGCGTCTCAAAAAAGGGGCACAGTTTCCGCTCGCCTCCTTCTTCTCTGTTAACTGACTGCCCGGCCCCGTCCACATCTGAGTTTGAGAACCCCTGTTTGCTGCTCTCACTGGAGGGGTCCATGCTGCCCGTTCTGAAATAACAAAATGCATCAACTCAAAGGCCGCAGGCTGGTCTCCTGCCTGCTGGGGATGGGGGTGTGGGGCGTTTAGATGTGTGGGGCCCCAGCTCTCTGCAAGTTTCTGGGCTTTTTCTTATGGGCTCAGGCTCTAGGATCTCAAATCCAGGAAGACTAAGGCAGTTACTCAAACGAAGGGACAGGTGGTTTGGAAGGGTGAAGATCCTGTTTCAAATTAGGGTCCCCACCAATTTCTCTGTAATTGAATTTCGAGGAGGGGTAAGGTGTTGAGTCAGCTGAAAAGAATTGTTTTAGTGTTTTTCCATTGGTAGCAGAGAGGATGGGGGAACTGAGGTAGACAACAGACAACAAGGGGTGTGGGGGTCCGTAGGGAAATACAAACAGTTGAGAACATTCCAGAAGCATCCAGAGCTGAGCAGCCCTTCCTTCAGGGCAGTGCCGAGCTCCATGGGTCTCTTTTCAGGAGAATGGGGACCTGGCGGGTTGGGCCCCCTCTGCCGGTGGACCCCCCCCTCCCCCGGCTTTCCGCCAGTGCCATTCCTCTCCCCGCCCCCGCAGTGCCCGGCCAGCCCATGAACTTCCGGGCCGAGGCCAAGTCGGAGACGAGCATCGGGCTCTCGTGGAGCCCCCCGCGGCAGGAGAGCATCGTCAAGTACGAGCTGCTGTTCCGGGAAGGCGACCATGGCCGCGAGGTGCGCGCACGGCGAGGGCGGGCGGCCGGCGCGTCTCGCCGGCTCTGTGCCTGGGTGTGGGTCTTCCCCGCTCTCTTTGCCGCCGCTCGCACCTCTCACTCTTCCTCTTTCTCCGTCTCTCTCGGTGTCCGCGTCTGCCTCTGGCTCCCCCTCCGTGGCTCTCCGCGCCCCGTCCCCAGGTCGGGAGGACCTTCGACCCGGCCACGGCCTTCGTGGTGGACGACCTCAAGCCCAACACGGAGTACGCCTTCCGCCTGGCGGCGCGCTCCCCGCAGGGCCTGGGCGCCTTCACCTCGGTGGTGCGGCAGCGCACGCTGCAGTCCAGTAGGTGTCTC